CTCGCCTGGTCTGCTGCTGTGTTCCCCAGGTCATTAGTAGGGCAGCTGGAAACCGGGAGCAGGTGCCCACAGGGGATGCCAGTGTCACAAGCAGTCCTCTCAGGCAGCAGCTATGTCTACTGTGGGCACATCAAGAATTTCCAACTGTTCACGTGATTCAGATCCTCGGTAAAGTGTGAAGCCACTGCCTCCATGTCATTCACTGTCCCCAGACAGCTTTCCGCCGGGCATGAGAGGCGAGAACCTTCTTGATAATTCTGCCTATCTGCTCCGCTCCAGTTCCCCACCCTTTGCACAGCAAGGTTTCACCTCGCAGAAGTTTTTGCACCGTGCAGTCAGCAGGGACGCTCCACTTGGGCCAGTCAGGCAGGAGTGACAAAAACATACTCTTCCGGGGCTCTCAATACGCACAAACTGGAGGTTGACTTCAGCCTGCAACGTGAGGCGAACTGCTTGCCCCTTGGGGGCTCAGGATAGCTTTGTCATGAGTGGTGGTGAATAGTCAGAAAATGATTGGCACACTTTGCAGACTAGGGTTCCAGGGACCAAAAGCGCAAATGCGGACTGCAGCACACTCACCTGTGTGAGTTTAAAGTCATCAAATGCTGATCTGCCACATTCATAAATCTTACTGCTGTCTAGAACAGGGAGGGATGGCTGGGCAAAGAATGGGGGCGGAGCCAGGGTGTCCAAGATGGCTCCTGCATAACCTAAACTGCTGGTACTCAAAGGTGACATTTTGATTCAAAAACTACCAAAGTAGCTGCTTCCTGCGGGACACCTGAAGGACAGGTGTCTTAACCTTTCTCCTTGTGAGAAGCTCCCAGAAGGAATTTGCTCTCCTCCCGGTCCTCCCCATTCCACTGGCCTTGGGTTTGGCCACCTGAAGGAGTGAGGTGCTGGGGGTGGCTGACCTGGGCAGGTTTGCTCAGGATCCCCACTGTGGCGGTCTTGCTGTAGTGTCTGCAGTATCCTTCAGTGGCCTTTCCTGAACTCGCACCTCTCCAAGAGGGAGCAAGTGTGCAGGTCTGAGCCAGGGGGATGCAGCAGAACTGGAGGGAGCAAAATCCTTCTCCCAGCCCCCACGCCCAGCTGGGAATTGCGCGCCAAAGAGACAGAAGCACTCCAAAAGGGGCTGCGGATCCACCTGTTCCAGAAAGAGACAAGAGGGTGATTTCTGGTTCCAAAGTTGGCTCAGCTCCGGGCATTATCAGACCCCTGCTCCAGGTCTTTTCTGACCTGTCCGGACTGGACACAACCCCTGCCACGACTCACTCATTGGAGTTGAGAGAGCTCTCCTTTCCAGGGTCTCCCCTCTCCCCGCCCCCCACACCGGGCGCGGTTCTCCGCTAGGGTTTCCCTCCGGGCAGATTACTTTATGACAGGGTGTGATAAGTGGTGATTTGGTTCCTCTTTTGATGGCAGGATTGCTTTGTAAACAGAAGCGTAAACTCACTCCGATAGTGGTTCCGCACCAGTGCGCGCGGCAGCAGCTCTGGCACAGCGGGCGGCTGAGACAGCGGCTGAACCTGTCGCCCTGGACCGGAGAGGCCCTGCGTGGAAGGGCGCACCCAGAGGTGACTCTCTCCTGGGCCTGGGAGGCGTTTCTAGGATTTTAGCCTCTGGACTTGGCGTCTTGCTACGCACTGGGCTTTGCGTACCCACTGCTCTCAGTTCAAGGTGTGCACCAGGGAGTGACAAGGTAGCTCATTCCACAGGGCTTCGGTTGCTCCATCGCTAACTTCTCCGTGGGCATCTGCGCTAAGTAAGAGTTTGGTTCCTCCCCCACCCCCACGATTACTGGTCATCCTATTTCTTTGCGCTAATCCAACTGAAGAGCCAAGAGGTTCCTCCAGGAAGGCCTAGAACCTTGGTGCAGTTAAGATCGCCACTGGGTTTCCTTTACTGCCCTTTGCTTTCTGCCCTGCTGGCTGCCATCCTAATGCCCGTTTGACCATTCCTAGAGGTCCAAGAGAGAATCCAATGTTTGCTTGGCTCAAGCACAGAGAGCGGCAGCTCCAGAAAGGTAGATGCCTGGAACTCGTGGATGGATGCTTCACCCTGCCCAGTGACCTCGAATCCCATGAAGTTGAAAGTCAAGCGGGACCATCACAGGAGTTAGCCCATTACTCAGATTCAGATGGAAATTTCCATGTGCCTTTGTGAGGTTTGGGCCAACGAGGGCCCCAGAGTGTTGAGGCACAAACAAAGTCTCAAGGCCTCTGGTAGCAGATCACTGCCGCACCCAGGGGCTGCCAGTTCTGGGAGGAGGATCCATCACTAGGTAACCACTTCCTGCAGCCCAGCTCTCCAGCAAGAACAGTGCACAGACAAGCTTGTAATCCACGGGGAGAATTCCAGGTCCTGCAGAGCCTCCTTCCTGGGGGAAGCACCTGCTGTACAATCCCTGAGGCTCTGATGCTCTGATCCCCACAAAAAAGTCACAGGACTGTGGACTTCCACAAAGACTGGAAACCTCCTCCAGAGGCTTCCTGGGTGCTGAGGCCAGCAGCCAAGGGCTGTTAGCATCCTTGTCCCTGGCCAACCTTCCAGGATGGCCAAGGGGAGCCCAGGTGCACAGTAAAGCTGAGAGACAGCTCCTCTCCAGCCCCTGCCACTGCCTTCTGGGAAGGGGCTGAGCCTGGAAAGACGACTGTATGAAGAAAAGCTCTGATAAATTAAACAAGTGTCCAGAAATAGGGGTGGCAATATCAGAGTTCCTGGGAGGGAGGTGTGTGTGTGTAGAAGGTGTCTGTGAGAACGGCAAAACATCTTACATCACCCTGAACTGAACTGGCCTGATATGTACCTCAGTATTCTGGTGGCAGAGTGCTGTCCAGGAGCATTCAACAAGAGGACTCAAGCCAGCTGCTTAGCACAGCCTGGGGCCTAGGGGGTTAGTGACAATGCTGACCACTGCCCACAGTGTCCACTCACCTGACCGGACCATCGTACTGAGCCCCATCTGCCACTTTGCTTCCAGCTTTCAGTATGTGAGCATACGTACACACATTCTCAAAAGCACTGGATGAGGAGCTGGCAATGCTGGCACCGGATCCCAAACCCCAGCCCTGGCACTTGCCCTCTTGCCCCTCCTGGGCTGGCCCTGGCACACCCAGTGAGGTCCACCCTGCTTGGAGCTAAAGTCCCTCACTGCTCAGTTTCAAGAACTTATATAGTGGGTCTGGCGCCATAGCTCCATAAACTAATTCTCCTCCCTCAAGCACCAGTATCCCAAGTTTGTATCCTGGTTGCTCCACTTCCCATCCAGCTCCCTGCTTGCAGCCTGGGAAAGCAGAAGAGGATAGCCCAAGTCATTAGGATCTTGCACCCACTTGGGAGACCTGGAAGAGGTTCCTGGCTCCTGGCTTTGGATCAGCTAAGCCTGGTCATTGCGGGCCATTTGGGGAGCGAACCAGTGGATGGAAAATTTTTCCCTCTGCCTCTCCTTCTCTCTGTAAAGTGCCTTTCTAATATATATGTTTTTAAAAGAAAAGAATGCTCAGTGCCCTCAGCGCTGGTGCCCTCTCCCCCTTGGGAGGAAGGAGCACGGCAGAGTAGATGCTCAGGAGTTTAAAGTGCCCCTTTTTTGCATGAAAATATTGCTCAATGAAAAAGAGACCCCTCCCATTTAAAACCCCCAAATCATCCATGGAACAAACCCCAACTTGTTGAATACAGCTATAAGCAGGTCCAAGACATTTTTCATTTAACTGAAGAATCAGAACTGGACAGAAAGTGCCCCGTGCTGCTGAAATGCACGAGAAAGGCCTGCACAGTTCTCCTGAGGTGGGGGGAGATGGAGCATTCTTCCCCTGCCCAGGGTCCCCAGTGAGAGCTGGGGTGCAGGAAATGGGAAAGGGGGATGTTGCTGAAAATCTTCATTCTGCACCTCCGCCGATCTTTGGCAAGTGATGGCCTGACTTGTCAGAGAAGAAACCAGTTCTTTGTTCATCCAGGATCGCCCCACCTGGAGCACCCCAATCCCAAACACAGTCAGATCCTGTGGTCACTCAGAATGGGGATGCCAACACGGCTGGGCGAGCGCCTCTCTCTCTCTCTCTCTCTCTCTCTCTCTCTCTCTCTCACACACCTTTCTCCCGGCCAGGTGTGGTTCCTGGGGCTTCTTTTAAAGCTCCCCTCTAATTAGGCACAGCGGTGAAATCACCCGGGCGATTTTTATCTGTCCTGGGAAAGCACATCCCAACTCAAACCTCAGTTGCCCATCCCAGCGCCACCAACGCCCCCACTCGCCCTCTAAAAAAGTTTTTAGAGCTAAAGAGAAAGGGATGGGGAGGAAGGACCGGGACCAGAGAAAGCCGGGAAACGACAGCGGGCCTGTCTCCGAGTGCAGGAGGGTGGAGGAGAGATTCAGGGTGTAGCTCTATGTGATTGTAGGGTGTTGTTTCTCTCTCCGAGGTGGGAGGTGACTAAATCTAGAAGCCAGAAATGAAACAGAATCACGAAACGTACTTCGTCCTTGCCGTACTTCTCTGATCTGGAATCCAGCGCTGCCACACTCCCTGCCCCGAGGGTGGCACGCTCAGGTCCGCTAAGACCAACAGTTCCCTAAACCCCGCGGGCTGGAGAGGAGCCGCGGCGGGAGCGACGGCCAGGCCCCAGCCACGTGCGCCCGGGTGCGCAGGGCCTCTCCTGCGCCGCGCCCTTCCCGGGGTTGTGCCCAACACCCGCTGCAGCCCGGATGGGAAGCGAGCAAGACTCCCCGCATCCCCAAAGTTCTGAGGGGAGAAGCGCCTGGGGAGGAGCGTGCAGATCTCCCCCAGGAAACACACACACACACACACACACACACACACACACACACACACACACACACTCACGCAGTCACACTCCCGGAGCACCCCTCAGCAGTCAGTCCGCTTCGGTTCTCCTGTCGGGGCATTGACCGGGAAAGCGGGTTGGGGCTGTTGGGAAAAGCTGGAGTAGATGGCGAGATTGGCGCGGCTATAAATCCATCACTTCCCAGGTCAGTTCCGCGAGGTGCTGGGACTGGGGCTGACGGAGTGAATTCCTGGGCCAGCGCGCATGCGTCGGCAGGTAGCAACCCAGCTCTTTATGACCAGGTGAGATGTTGGTGAGCAGGTAAAAAAAGGACGATTTGCCTAAGCGATTCCAGGGAGCGGGCCCGGCCGAGCCCTCCAGCCCATGCCCGGCGGGGACCCGTCGCCAGGAGCGCTGAGCCGTGATGTCCCTACTTGCCAAAATGGGGGACTGGCAGGTACGGGGGGTGTTTTGCCTTGGCTGGGGCTGAGGTGGGCGGGGGTGGAGCGGGGGAGGGGGCCGGGGCGGGAGACGGGTGGCGAGGCAGAGAGGAAGCGCTGTGGCCCAGGGCAGGGGAGTGAGGCACGCCTGGCAGCGCCCGGGAGTTCTCGGGAGAAAGACAGGAAAAGCGAGCGCAGGCGGCGGCCGCGGCGCTGGGGGCAAAGCGCGCCGCCCGCGGGCCCCGGATCCGCGCAAAGTCCGTCGCACGCTCCACAGGTGGCCCCGGGGGTCACTTGTGGTTTGTGCTGCAGCCGATTCCCTGCCTTTCCACCCCCCCCCCACCCCAAGTACAAACTTGGCTGAATGACTAAGTCAGCAGGGGGGGGGATGGGGAGGGCGCAGGGCTGGGGTGCCCGCGAGCACCTTGCTGGATCCCCGAGCCTACGGACCTCGCCCAGGACCCCTGAGCGGCGCGTTGGAGTAGGGTTTTGGTGCACCTGTCTCCGTCCGGGAGTGTCCCCAAGATTGGGAAACCCGGGGCGGGTGGAGAACTGGAGTCTGGACGCCTAGGGCTGCGGAGGCGGCGGCGGGACCAGCGTTTTGTTTTAGGAGTTGGCCTGAAGTTTAACTACCGGATCAGATAGGTCAGCTTCCTGAAATGGGATTTTCACCTCTCGCGCTAAGGATTTTGTGTGTGTGTGTGTAGGGGGGGGGGGACGGTGGGTGATGGGGGCCAGAGGTGGTGGTTTTTGCTGAAACCAACGCTTGCCGAAGTTGACCCAAGTTAGGCCGTGGCCACCAGCACGCGGCGGTCTGCGCTTTGGGAATGGTTTTTCTGGAGCCCCGAGTGCCACCAACCCCAGACCGAAGGGGGTTTCGCTCAGCCTCCCACTTTCAGATTTGTTCCCTGCAGAAGGCGGGGGACCACGCTCTGGGCCGGTGGACAGACAACTGAGTCTCCCCTGACCACCTGACCACCTCACAACTTCTTCCGGGGAGCCACAGGATCTCTTGGTTGCCCCAACCAAATGAAGCTCCGTCGTCGGTCGGTCGGGACCCACAAGCCTGCCTGCCTGGAGCTTGCCAGAGAAAAAGTCAGGGCCCTGCCCCCCCTGGGCCTGGCTCTTTGGCACGGGGTAGGGGTGGGGGACGATTCAGGCCATTGAAAGTAAAGTTGGGAGAAGCCACCACTTTGCTCAAGTTGGGAGCAAGGCAGGCCCGCGAGTGTGCTTGCGTGATTTTCCTGCTGTTGGGGGGCCTTACCAGGAGGGATCGCCTATGCACCCCTTAAGTCCCAAGAAAGGCAATCTGAGTGAAGGATGCAGCGCCATGCGGACACACCTTTCCGGTCGCTCTGAGCCTCCCTCGCTGTCTTTCTTTCTTCTGTGGGCAGGAAAAGTCCTTTGGTAAGGATAGTGAGGGCCTTTGCAGGCCACGGGAAGGCAGCCTCCGTGGCATATCCCACCTGGGGCTAGGCCTCCGGGGCTACAAAGTTGCTGCTCCCCGAGAGCTGCACAGGTTGACAAGAGGCCTGAGGCCTGGGTCTCGTGGAGCAGATCTGCCAGGCTTGACCTGTCCGGTTCCCGGGGTCGCCCTTGTGCAGTGACAGCCACCAAAAATCAGGTTGTCCTGGTCCGTCCCAGCTCCCTGTCCAAACATTTTTGGCAGGTCAGAATTCCCTCCACCCACTCCCCCAGCTCCAACCTTGCAGCCTGGCGCTGCCGATTTGGGGTCCCTGTGGGCTGCAGCATCGACTTGCGCGAAGTAGTGACTTGTGGACAAGAAGTACACACAAATGCAGCTGGGTGGGCTCCAGTGGAGACCCAGGAACTCTCCAGACCCCTTCACGCGCGCCCCACACTGCCAGGCGGCTGGCTGCTGGGAGCTTGCTGGTTCCAATCTCCACCTCAATGGAGCTTTCGGTGGGACGACAGCCTATAGCCCCTGCAGGGGTGGCAGTGTGTGTGTGTGTGTGTAATCCTGCAGTGGCAGCGGTGGGAGTGGGAGGGAAGAGGACAGTGTGGAGGTGGAGGTGGGGAGGGATGAGGGGTTCTGATACCTTCCCAGCCCATATCCAAAAGGAATGAAAAATGAAACTCCCAAGAGTTCCCCGGCCGCCTCCTCCTCGCTCTGCGGCACGGAGGTGTGGGTTCAGAATCCAAGCTCTCAGGCCTTGGAGTTGGCCTGCGGCTCCCCGTGGCTGAGTGGTGGCTGAGTGGCAGCTGGGAAGCTGGTGGTGTTCCCTACCGCTCAGGTCCTGAGTGTTTGGTGGCAGCCCTGGGGACAGCCCTGCAGCGTGGGGAGTGGGGGCGCTCCAAGTCTGGTGCAGCCCCGAGGCTGGGGAGTAATAGGGGGAGAGGAGGGGTCAGGGCAGGACTTTGGAAGGGGCCCCTGGGCTGGGAATCCTTCTGTCAGCTCTAGTCTTTGTCCTAGCTGGTTTTTTGTTTTGTTTTTGTTTTTTTTGGGGGGGGTGTCGGGGAGGGCTGGCCACTGTCTCTCTACTTGGCTTGGGGAGTTTGAGTTCTCTTGGAGGGAGAATTAGCCCTTGGCAGTTTTAACTAGAGTGTTTTGGGTGGGGTGTGAGTGTTGGTGGGGGATGGAATTCTTCCTCCAGTAGCCTTCTTTCCACCTGTTAGGGAACCTCCTGGAATTTGCAGACCTGCCACTCTCCCGGTGAAGAAACCTGGTCAGGCCTGGGGAAATGCAGCAGGAGGCCCAGATGAGGGGGTGCAAAACAAGAGCTACTCTCTTAGTAGAAGTCGGTGCTTTTTTTTTTTTTTTTTTGTAGGGGGCAGTAAACGCTTTTAATAGGGAGAAAAATGGAAGCTTTTTTTTTTTTAACAACACACGGAAAAATTCAGCCAGAGAAATGCATTTCTCTTTACATTTCGAATTGTTACATTAGGGCTTTTTTTTTTTCTACCTTTAAAAAGTTGCTACAGCAGAAGGGGGGAGGGGAAGGCTGCGTGAAGCCAGCAGGAGTCCCAGAGCTTGGACCGGCCGACCAGGGTAAGGGGCTGGCTGGGGGACCTCCGGGTTCCGCCTCAGCCGGGCCCTGAGCCGCCAGCGCGCCCGCTTTGGTAACATCAAACCATAAAGGAACTCTGCCTGCTTTAATTAAAAAGGGGAATCTTGGGAAAACTGGAGCAGATTAGCACAGAGAAACGTTGCTTCCCAATGATTTATTTTGATGCACGCATGACACGGTGTGTAGACTTGCAGGCGCATGCGAGTCCGTAATGGGCTCCACTCCAGAGGCGCTGAGCGGCTCCACCGCTCCGGATTCTGCTCCTTGTCCCACCCGAGAAACCCTAGCCCCAAACACCAAGTTGAACTGTCAGTTGGCTCTAGTTTCCTACAAACGGGAGGAAAGCCATTTAACCCCTGGAGCTGTCAAGTAACCTCTTCAGGGTACAACTTTTATTTTATATGCCGCAATTAAGGGATCGCAAACCCCAGCCGAGCTACTGGAGCTGTCTGGCAGAATCTCCAACCAGGGGGGAAGCGCTCAACCAATAAAACTCCCTAGGCGCTGCGGCCCCCGGGGGCAGCTGCCCGAGCGGAGGCGACCTCTCTGGTAGAGGAGGAAAAAAAAAATCCTGGACTGCTTTCTCCGGTCTTGGTTTGCTGGTTATGTTTAATTGCGAAAGGGATAATGATTTCTAATGAAATTGGACGGGGCCGAAAGGGCAGCTCCGAGAGAGGTGGCAGGAGTGGGGGCAGGGGGTTGCGGGGAAAGAGCTACAAGCCAGCCCCCGGTGCCTCCGCTGGGACCTGGCGAACAGCTGAGTTTTACCGGAGGCAGCACGGTCTAGGAGCAAGCCAGAAATGGGCGAGGGGAGTGGGGCGACAGAAGGCTGGAACGGGGAGGAGGGTGCGCTGGGAGCAGGGGAGTGAGGGGACGCTTGCAGGTTTCGCCCAAGCGGCAGGTGTGCGCCCTGGGGAGCGAGTTCCTGGCCAGGAGAAGCCTTTATACCTGGGTCGGAGCAGCCGGCGGCGGACCGTGGTACTGGCGAGCAATTGGACTATTGTTGATATGCTAATGAGGCGATTAGACTGTTGGTAAAGCGCTGGAAAAGGGAAAAGTTTCTACCATTAGAGGGAGATCTCCGAGCGCACACAGGAGCTCCTTCCCTTCTCTCCTCCTCCTCCTCCTCGCCCTCCTCCTCCTCCTCCTTGCCCTCCTCCTCCTCCTCGCCCTCCTCCTCCTCCTCCTGCGCTTACGGCCGGCAGCCGGCACTTTGCGCTTACCCAGAGACTAGCTCCACTTGGCTGCGAGGCGGAGAGGGGGCAAATCCATTCACGCCGATCCATGAAAATGCTTTGGAAACTGACGGATAATATCAAGTACGAAGACTGTGAGGTAAGCGCGGCGCCGGCTCAGTCATTGCTAGCGACCACAGGCTCGGAGCCTGACTCTCCTGTCGGCGGAGCCGGCAGCGAAACGCGGCTGGGACAAACTTTCCCCGGCGCAGCGCCCGCCCCTCGGATTCGCTCGAAGAACGTAGGGGCGCACGCGGAGGGGAGCAGTCCCTTTCGTCTCCTTCCGTCGAAGCCCCGTGTCCCACTTTACCCCGCTTTTGGTGTGTGATCAGTTTTGGCTATGCCGAAAGAGTGGGCGAAGGGACAAGTTTTTTTTTTTTTTAAGCAATTGCTCGCAACTGTGCACGCGCCTGTCTCGACAGAGCGATTCTAGGGGCCGAGTCACTAGGAAGAGAGGCGAGGGCAAAACCCTGTTTCCCTCCAGCTCCCTCTTTGATCTTTAATATTCCTCCTTTTAGACCTCCTCTTTCCTTTCTTCCACCCCTCCCCCTTTTCTGCAGAGGCCCTCGCCCCGGCTTTGGAGGTGGCCCCTTTATATTTCGCTCTGAGCTGCCAGCGGGTTCAACTTGGGAACACTCATCCCGGCTGCCCGGGTTTCGCACCGGACCTCCTGTGTTCTAAGAAGTTCTGAGTGGCTTGTGCCGCCCTGGGGGCGGGTTGGGGTGGGGGGGAGCGCTGTGGGGAGCCTTACTTGACCGCGGGGTCCCCGCCCCCCACCCCGAGCACCGGCCCCTACACCCCTTTCCGTCGCGCCAGCGCGACCGTGGGAATCTCGGTATGGCTGCCCACCGCCACCTCCTCTGGCGCCGCGAACTCGGCCGGTCGGCAGGACGCTCAGCTCCGGAACCCCTTTGAAAACCTAGGATCCCCAGACCTTAACTTCTTGGGGAGGGGTCTCGGGGAGAGCCAACCACCCACAGAAGCGCTGGGAGCCGGCTTCAGCTTCCCTTTGCAATCCCCGCGCGGTTGGGGGCGGGAGGCCCCAGATTGTCTAAGTAAAGAGCTGGCAGTTACGAATTTGCTTCTCTCTCTCTCTCTCTCTCTCTCTCTCTCTCTGAGCTGGGAGTGCCAGGCACAGGGGGTCTGGGTCGGGGCGCCGCTGCAGGGGGCCCGTCTTCACTTGAAACCAGATCCTGCGTTTATGGGAAGCTGTGTACCGCGCGCCGGTTCGTTCGTTTTCTTTTCTCCTTTCAAGCCCTCCACTCTCTCCCTCTTTGGCCTCCCGCTCCCTCCCAAGGGTGGATGGGGCGCCGGCTACTGGGCACTTTGTGGGGGGTTCCTGATGTGAGCAGGAAAAGGCGCAGGGACTCCAGGTCCGACCCGTCGCTTTGCGTTTCGGGACTGGGGTGGGGAGTGCGAGGCTGTGGGAGCAGGTTGGAATGGAAAGTGAGACCCCTCGGCGTCCCGGTTCGCTTGGTTGGGGTCTGGGCCACGTTGCTGAGGCCCTGAAGCCGGGCTCCGGGTGCCGGCGCCCTGGGCGGGCAGGGTGTGTGAACCTCAGCTCGGCTCCAAGTGCTGAAGGGACGGGTGCGGGAGGCGAACTTGCACCCCTAGAGGGACTCTGTGAAGGCGCGTGTAAACTTGCAAGGGTAGGAGAAACGAGAAAAAAAAAAAAAAGAGGGTGGTAGTTGGGAGAAATCTAGACAAGGGAAACAAGAGCCAGCCAAGTCTGTTCCCACAACTTTGGCGGCAGCTGGCGAGCGCTGGAGCGGGGTTTCGCAGCCGGCTCGGGGCTGTCGGCTTCTGCCCGGCCCTGCAGGTACACGCACGAGGCGAGGGGCCGCTTGTCCTGACAGCCCCGGCGGGCGCCGGCCGAGCGAGCCTTGTCATCCGGGCGGGGGCTGGGGGGCGTCGGGCGGGAGTGGCCCAGCCAGTCGGACGGGTTTGGGCCGGGGAGCCGGGAGCCCGTGCCAGCGGCGTCTCCGTGCGCGCCCCGGGGCCCGCGGCGTCTCGCAGCTTCGGTCCTGGGGAGCCGCAGGGCGCAGCGGCAGAGGGCCGCGGAGCGCCGGGCCCTGGTGTCCGAGGGAGGCTCCAGAAGGAGGAGGACGAGGAGGAGAGGGGCCGGTCGGAGCTGGCGGGTCGGTCCTGGGCCGGAGCGCCGGGCTGATGGAGCAGCCGCGCGGCAGCGGGCAGCGGAGTCCCGAGTCCCAGGCCCGGGTGCGGAGCAGAGGAGTCCGCGGCCAGAGCCGGCCGGGCAGCATCCCGCGCGCCGAGAACCCGACGGACGCCGGGCAGAGCTCCCCGGCCGCTCCAGCCCGCTCCGCGCTGCACCCCGAGGTCTGCCCCAGCCTTTAGGTCTGACTGTCCTCGCTCGCTTCCTCTCCCCCCTCCCCCTCCCCGCGGCCTCCCCCTCCCCCGTGCGCTCCGCTCCGTCCCCTCCTCCTCCTCCTCCCTCTCTCCCTCCCGCCCTCCCTCTTTCCCTCCCTTCCTCCTCGCGGGCTCTTCCTCCTTCCCTCCCTCCAGTCTCCCCACTCCCGGCTCCTCGCCCTCGCCCACACTTTCTTTCTCACACACGCACGCAGACACATTGCTGCCTCCCCGCGCGCTCCTGCCTCGGCCGCCCTCGCTCCCTCTTTCTCTTTCACTTTTGCATGCCCTGCAACCTTTTAAAATGTTGCCCCTTCCTTGTGATTCGCCAGACGCCGCGCCGCGGCCCCCCGCGCGCTCGCCCGCTCGCTCTCTCGCCGGCTTTTTGTCTCTCGCTCTCCCTCTCCCCACCTCCGATTTGCTACACTGAGGCGCCCGTCAATGGACTGCATTGAGAGCCGGCTCCGGCGCGAGTTGCCTCTCCGCTTCACGCTCGATTTCCAGGCATTCTTCCCTTATTAAGTATTCGTGTAATATTAATAGTCATGAATATCTGCTATTAGGAGACTCCAGGAACGCTGCCCGGCGCGGTTATTAGAAGCTCGAGCGAAGCCGCCGCTGAGAAAAAAGGGAGAGAGACACGGATTCAGGAACACGCACGCACGCACACACTCACCCACAGTTTTCTTCCCCCTTTTTTTGGGCTTTTAAAAAAATTTTTGGTTTTTTTGCTTTTTTATTTAATCAACATTTTTTTTTTAAAAAAAAAGAACTTTGCAACCTAACTGACCGCGGCACGATAGCGCGGGGTGGAGCAGCTGAAGGCGCCGGGCGAATCGGTGGTTCCAGTTCGGATGGACCCGAGCGGGGCTCCCGAGCTCGGGGCAGCGGCGCCGTGACTGCGGCGTCCTGGGCGGCGCGGGGCTCCCGGAGCCTTTTGTGTGGGGCGGCGGCCGGGGCTGCCGGGCGCTCCAGGCTTGCGTGGTGGTTTTTTTGGTTTTTGTTTTTTTCCTTTTTCCACCCTGACTCGTTACCCCAGACTCTTCGCAGATGTTAGTTCACAGTTTTTCAGCTATGGTGAGTCCCACCCGTCCCCTCCAAACCCCCAGCCCTGTTTCCTTGGAGATTTCCTTTCTGGAGACTTGGGGTGGCACGCGCAGGTTTCCTGCAGGACACCTTCCCCACCCCACCCCACCCCATTTCTTTGTGCATTTCGTCCTCCTTGCCTCCTTTCTCTAGCTTTCCCCCCCACCGATCTCCTCCCCCGAAATCCAATGCCATGCCTCCCACCCGCGCCCCGGCTCGCCCTCTCCGCGCGCAGACCTACCCGGCCGCCGCCGAGCCTGCCGCCCGCTCGAGGCGCGTTCCCCCGCGCCTTCCTCTTTGATACTCCACTTTGCTCCTGAGATGTTCTCAGCATTTGAGGCTTACTGGGTCTGCAAAAGAGAGAGAACGCAGCCCGGTGAACCTCCATCTTCCCCCTACACACACTCCCCACCCCACCCCGGGGGCCCGAGGCTGAACCTTCGAGCGTGCCGGCGCTCTCCCGGACTCAACTCTTGGCTAGTTTTGCAAGCGAGATGTAGTCGAGGAACCAAAAGAAAAGAAAAGAAAAAAAGTTTGGCGTTCCTTTTTACCCTTTGGGGCTAGGGTGGTAGGGCAGCAGCTGGTTCTTCTACACTCAGTAAGGTCCTGCATTTGTGGGTCCACGTCTCTCTGTTCTCATTGAGAACATTGAGGGTCCACCGAAACGGACCCTCGCCGAGGAAGCGGAAAACGCAGCCCCGCGGATCCTGCAGTTGAAAGCCCCCCTTGAGCTGGTCATTTAAAAGCGTGCTTGCCTTACTGCCCCTCTGCGAAATATGTTTCTATTTAAGTCTTTGAAGGTTGATGATTTCGCCCCCCTCCCTCCCCTCCGAAAGAACGGAAGGGGGTAAACAAGGCCGTGGGTAGTGGCGGGCAGCTTTAGATCCCGAGGGCCAGGGCAAGGCCGCTTCTGCCTGACGCGGTCAGGAGCGAATCCTTAATTTTGCTCGAGGGTGTGTGTGTGCTCCACGCTGCCGCTGCACCCGGTGTTATTGCCGGAGGCTCCTTTTCTCCCTCTTTTTTCCCCCTTGGAAAGAAACGCACCCGGGAGCGTCTCTAGGGCAGACCTTAACCGTATTTATGCAATTTGGACAGGGCCTGCTTCGCTTTGGGGTGGGAGGTGATTTTCAAATTGCACCGCACAGGGCTGAGTTTTCTTTTCTTTCTTTTTTTTTTTTTTTTTCTTTGCGCTCCCCACCCACCCCCACAACCCCGGCAGGCTCGGGCACAGTCTGAGCCGGATAGGTTTGGCGTGGTCCAGCCCGAGCCCTTATTCTCACCTCCTGTTCTCTGCCCTCCTCTCTTCCAGGACCGTCACGACGGCACCAGCAACGGAACTGCACGGTTGCCCCAACTGGGCACTGTAGGTCAATCTCCCTACACGAGCGCCCCGCCGCTGTCCCACACCCCAAATGCTGACTTCCAGCCCCCTTACTTTCCCCCGCCCTACCAGCCTATCTACCCGCAGTCCCAAGATCCTTACTCCCACGTCAACGACCCCTACAGCCTCAACCCCCTACACGCCCAGCCGCAGCCGCAGCCCCCGGGCTGGCCCGGCCAGAGGCAAAGCCAGGAGTCTGGGCTCCTGCACACGCACCGGGGGCTGCCCCACCAGCTGTCGGGCCTGGATCCGCGCAGGGACTACCGGCGGCACGAAGACCTCCTGCACGGCCCGCACGGGCTCGGCTCAGGACTCGGAGACCTCCCGATCCACTCCTTACCTCACGCCATCGAAGACGTCCCGGTAAGAGGCCGGTGGACTGGGGGGACAGTTCCCTTACAATGAAACCGTTTATTTTATTGGGGGGGGGTACGGGAGTAGGAGAGGGGTGTTTTGATCGAATGAGATCGTAGCAACAATAATACATATTTAAAAAAAAAATGCCAAGTAGTGGAGATTTCCGCCGCCCCCCAGAACAATGGTTCCTGGGGTTCCATCGAACAATGCCTACCTTACCATTCTCCCAGCAGCTCAAGGGATAAAAATCAGGGGAGTGTCACCGTTGACAACGTCTTCCCCTCTGGACTCCCCTAAACTGGAGGAAGGGTTTAACTCCACGGGTGAGGCGTGGGGTCCCTGGCCTGACAGGACCTTGAATAGAAACCCCAAGAACTTCCTTCTTTTCACGTTGCAAAAACAGCCATGAAAGATATTCTGCGGAGATGATGATTTTATTCGGATTGTATCAGCTCTGGGGCAGCTTTCGGAGTTGCACTGCACCCCCTATCCAGATCAAAGAAAAAGTCGCAAATCCTAACCAAAGAGCATTCAAACACAGACTTGTCTTCCTAGGGGTGCTAAGTGGTGACCCCGTAAATCATTAGCTGGGTTCCCAACGCCTATCAGACCCGGCCACACCCCATATTTAATTAAATGTTTTCAGACTGTGGGGTAATAATGTTATTTGAGTTCTTAATTCAGTTATCAATAAATGTAGTTTAAAATGACTTCCAAGTAAGTGTGGCATTAGCACTCTTCCTATGCAGCGTGCAAATCAGGCTTTTGGTAATTTGAAAATACTTTCTGAAATGAACTTTAAACCAACATCTCTGCTTGAGTCTGTACATTTATGGTTTCCTCCCAACCTTCCTGAAACGGAATAATTTTATTAAAGCTGTAAAGGCTTCTGTTAAAGCTGGTTTTCTTTGCAGAGGAAATGTATCTGGATGTGATTTTTGCTAAAATGCTATTTCAAATTACTGCATCAAATATTGCAGCAGTATGTCCCTTGACACTTTAGTGATTACTGCATTAGATCGTAAGGAAATTGGTCAGATAAACTTACCTCCTTGCTTGGTGGATACAAGACTTTTTTTTTTTAACTTCCATAGGAAAATAGGAAATGTATTACATCACTCATTTGATCCAGTTAACCACTGAAATTTGTTGGTTATATTTAGTGACCTTGCACGGACCACTGAAAGTAGGTACCTGATTCAGCGTAGGGGGCAGTGAGCACTGGCCTGGGGGGTGTGTTTTTTTGGAGTAAAAGGAGAGGGGCCATACCTTATAAAAGAGCACTTAAAGTGGAAATCATGCTGTTTTTCGGTTTCCTCCCCAAAGAAGCTTTCTGAATCCTTGTCTTCTCTGCAACTATTTGTATTGCTTTTGGAACTAACGTGGATTAGAATTGTCCTGTTTCACAACACTGCCAGTCGCTGGTGTGATTGCTTAGCACCTGAACAGTCGCTGTTTGTGGCAAAACTGTTCAGTAGGAAAAAGTAATCCAAAAAAAAAAAAATCAAATAAAAACAAGGAATTGTAGCTGCTGTTCTTGCCTTTCCCTCCCCTACCTCCGAAGGAAAAAAAAAAAATCTTTCAAAGGAATTTGGGTCAGCGAGGGGGTTGTTTCCAATTTTCCCACTGCTGCAACAGTTAACCTTTCCAAAGAATGCTGCTGAATATTTGAGAAAATCAAACCGTTGGTGAAAATTATGTAATCGTTAATATCTCCGTGGGGTTTTCCACTGAACAGTCTTCTCTGTATGGACAAGGCCTAGAAATAAGGCAAATGAAAGCCCCACACCACACTGCATTTCCTGCATGGGTTTAGGGTACATGCATCAAGGGATCATATTTCCCCATATAGTTAAAACACAAGAACTGCAGTAGTCATTTCTGAACATTTCTCAATTTAATTATACTTAAATCCAGAAGCACTTTAGGCAAGTTACAAATGAGAGCATTGAGTATAATAAAACCTGTAATAAAAGAACTTAGTGCCATCCAGCCGGAATCGTTGCGATCAGGCACAATTAACAGGAGCATAAATCCAAGACAGAATGGAAAATGCTCGAATCAGTATTATTGTTGGACAAAGACTAGAGAAGGAAGTAATAGGTTTTTAAATGGTGATGTCTGTGTTTGGTAACGATTGCGGAATCCTCCGTCTCAGCAGCCCTGGTGCTAATTTGTAAACACAGCCAGACATTATATTGCCTGTCAGCTTTCTGCATTAGAAAACATGATTTCATTTTACTTTCTAATCACGTTTTGACTCTAGCACACACATGTATATCCATCCATCTGTTAAAAAAAGAGAGAGAGAAAGAAAAAAAAAAAATCCGTGCCAGCAACAAACCTGCTCCTGGAAACAGCAAAGGAATCTCACACGGGGCTTTTTGTGTGTTTCTTTTTGATCATTTTCGATCATTTTCATGTTGTTGTCATATCCAGTTTGGGCAGTGATAGAATGTTCTTGAAGAAAAGCATTTCTACTTTTCCGTAGGTGAACGCGCTTGCTGTTTATTACACTGCCTCCGTGGTTCACCCTCTCCTGGTCCTCCCGCCCCTGTCATTTCTATTGTGTTCCTCTGGCTTCTGCTGCCTTGAGACACTGGACTCTCCAAGGTCCAAAGCCTCTTAGGCGCCTGACTAAAGCTAGGTGCGTTTCTAAAGGCTCAACTGACTGGAGGAAAGACTGGGTGCTCCAAAACTTTAATTTCCAAAGAAAAGTTTATTCCCCACCCCCCCCACACCATCCCCTCCCAAAGTGGATTATTTGCAAGGGGGTATGGGGTGGGGGGAGGAGAAATTGGCCCTGGATGTGCAGTGAAACCTCTTGAGTTGCAAAGCCCCAAATTCCAATAAGCCGAGATGAGATGTTTATATATAAATGTCATTATATGGGAGAGGGAATTTCAATTCTCCACCTTCCCCTCCCCCCACCTTACAGGGAATATTCATTTCCTTTTGTTTTGATGAGACGCTTACATCCATGTGCACCCTTTTGTTGCAGCACGTAGAAGACCCGGGCATTAACATCCCAGATCAAACTGTAATTAAGAAAGGTAAGCCACTTCCTTCTGCATTCCAAGCATGTCCTTACAGGCACAGCGCTATTTAAAAGAACTTGCAGAGCTGTATTTATTTTTTTTCAAATAGGATTTCCTAAAGGCTCAGAATTAGCAAATAGATAGGCACAGCACAGCAGTGCTTAAATAATCGGCTTTCAGTTATCTTCGTAATGGCAACAAACTAGCTTTGTTCTGACCCAGGATTTGACTGCTTCTCTTCATTTTGGGGCATTTGGACCAACAGAGGAGGTGTGCAGTAGAGGCAGGGATCTGGTAGTCGCATTTCAATTTGGGAACGGTTTTAGGTGTTAATCATGTGGTTAATCCATTGTGTGAAGGCCAGAGGTGTTAAGAGGTGTTATGACGCTAAGACAGTGTCATTTCGTATTAATATTCAGTCAGAAAACAAGAGACACTGGGCATATTGGCAACTTTCTTCTTCCTCGGGTTCCTGTTAGCTGTGGAAGAGTTTTTGAAACTTTGTGAATTGGGTTAACAAACATTTAGCTTTGGGTCATGTTGAAGATGTCAGAATCAACAGCTTGTTTGTTCAGAACAGAAACTATGAGAAGTGTCAGTGATTTGCATGGATTTGTAACTTAGTGAGTAGGAACAAAGTTCCTCTGGATTAAATGCTGTTGACTGCTGATAGCGGCTTTTTTTTTTTTTTTTGTGGTGATGGTGGCAATATTACATTCCATGATTCTAGGCACCACCAGAGGACGATGCTATATAAAACTGTTCTCATTTCTAACCCCAATCAGTTTTGGTAGCTAGCTTAAAGTTTCATTTTTGCATCTGTGAAGTCTCTGTCACATCAAATTAGATGTGCAAGGGATAAATCTTAAGAGATGCTCTTTCCAAGTCGACATGATAATTGGCTCTTTTATTAGTAATCTCTCAAGAGTTCGTTTAACTCCTATTGTCTCTATTAGCCTCCCCAGAGCTATTAATGTCACAAGTGATCTATCCAAAACCTGCAGTCCCCCACCTCCCCATCCAGCTAGGCTATCCCCATTAAAGAACGCTCGCACCAGGAGCGCGATGCACTGCCAGGCAGGCTGCAGCCCTCCGCCGTGCAATTGTTAACTGCAGATGCCACGCTGCAGCCTACACACTACAGAAACTTGCTCCGGCTCTTCAATTCCTCCCCCGCCCCCAGCAATGGCGGGTCCCAGCATGTAGCCTTTTTCTGGTTTTGCAGGAGGCCGACTCCTTCCCATGGGAGGTATTTTAAAGGGAGAGGGGCAAGCAACTGTTAGCTCCACGGGACACGGGCTGCTAACACTCGTTTGTGCTTCACCCTCCTCCTTCCCAGGACTGGGATGTATCTGCAAAAACGCCGGGTCTTAAAAAAAAAAAATTCTTTCTAGACTCGGGTCCATCTGTTTACGGACAGGATATGGTGTGGCCAGCCTGATGTCTTAAGCCAAGGGCTCTGGGCATCTAAGCCCAGACTGACCACCCCGCTGCTTCCGCCCGACCCGCACCTTGCTCGGGGCCCAGGGGTCACTATGACACCACTCATGTCTGAAACCGCGCAGGCAGTTGGCGGCGGCCGGGAGGACAGGGAAGGCGAGGGGGAAAGGGCTCCGGATTTCCAGAACTGAAAGGGAAGCAAAGCAGGATTTCGGGGAGGAGACGTCCCTTCGACGAGGACACACAGCCTCCCCTTCTTGTCTCCGCAGGCCCCGTGTCCCTGTCCAAATCCAACAGCAACGCCGTCTCCGCCATCCCTATCAACAAGGACAACCTCTTCGGCGGGGTGGTGAACCCCAACGAAGTCTTCTGTTCAGTTCCGGGTCGCCTCTCGCTCCTCAGCTCCACCTCGAAGTACAAGGTCACGGTGGCGGAAGTGCAGCGGCGCCTCTCCCCGCCCGAGTGTCTCAACGCGTCGCTGCTGGGCGGGGTGCTGCGGAGGTGAGGCCCGCCGCGACGGGGCGCGCGGGCGGAGCGCAGTGCGCCTGCGCGGCGCCTCTCCCCGCCCACCTCGGGGAGGAAAGGGGCGGGGAGAAGGGAGGGGGCGGGGCGGCGCGGCGCGCGCCTGCGCTCTCCGCCGCCGTGCCGCGCGCTCGCGGGGCTCTCCGGGCCCCTCCTCCGCGCGCACGCGCAGCTCGGCCGCGGCGGGCTCATTGCCGGGCGCCGCAGCCGCGGGGCGCCGTGTGGCCGCCTTTTTGCTCTTGGCGTGTGCCTTGCGAGCCTGAGGAAACTTCCTCGGGTGGCTCGCTTTTGGGGTCTCCCATGGCTGTCCCCTGAGGGTTTTAGGAGGATGGCTTTTAACTAAAGGAAGAGACTAGTGGTTTCCATTGGGCAACGGCCTGGCTTCCATTGGGGAAGGTCATGGAGGTGGCGCCCTTGCCTCCGAGTGGGCTTCTCCCAGGGCTTCCCCAAAAGGCCGGCTGTGGGGCTTGCGTTGAACTGAACCCAGAGTGTTTCTCCTCCTCTGCCCAGAACTGAAAAGTTGGTCGTGTTGACTTTATTTATTGAGCTGCGTGTGGCCTCAGGTTGCGCTCTGGTGGGAATACCTCAGCCGGGCCTGGGAGGTGGTGGGTTTTTGTGGAAGGTTCTGGCATCCGTGATGGCGGTGTGCCGTTTTGCCTTCGCAACGTTCCCCTGACACAGATCTCTGCCCTCTGCTCTGCCGTCCCTTCCCCCAGCCCAGGATTGGAGTCTGTTTACCTAGGGGAGTATAATCTAATCCACGCAATTAAGGAGCACGTGAGGAGGGAATCAAATCTGGAATTAATTAATTTGCTGTTTTATTTAAACAATTTATCTTAACCACTTTCTGATTATGGGAGTCTATTTAGACATCTCTTTAGGCCTGCCTCCATTGTCTGTGAAATCGGTGAAATTTTTGCAGGCGGCTGTCAGCCGTTGGCGTTTCCAGTTAAGCTGGTGACACGGCATGTAAACAGTTGGTGAAATGCATTTCCCACTGGGGCTCCAGCGCGAGCAGAGAAACGCAGGAGTGATGATAACTTTTGGTTACTCCGTACAACCTAACAGCAGTTCTTGCAAAGACGAGTTAAAGACTCCTTTGGGGGTTGTGTGATTGTAACAACAGGAAAAATATACAGTCATCTGCTAACTCCAGACTACGTCAGACCCTGGAGATGAGCCGTGTGTGTGCCTGTGGCTCCTCCTTACCCAGATCTGGGGGAGGCAGCCCCTTCCAAGGGGCCGCGGCCTTTGCAGTCAGCAGCAAACACCAGGGCCGCTCTCCAGTTGAACAGGCGCTGTTGCTTTCCTATGATCTTTCAGGGTACCCTTCCTTCCAAGATCCTCACCCTTTTAATGTCGGGGAGCTGTGCCTCCTACTATTTTTTTCTTTTCCGTTATTTCATTTTCGGACACGGTTCCATAGGTTCTGGGATTCCCCCCCAACCCCTCCCGCCTCCTACTTTTTCCAAGCGCGTTTGAGGAAACTCCGAAATGACTTCAGTGGGACAGGAGCAGCTGGATGTTTTCTCAATCCTTTTCTTGCATGTATCTGTGTGACAGGGCGAAGTCGAAAAACGGAGGAAGATCTTTAAGAGAAAAACTGGACAAAATAGGATTAAATCTGCCGGCAGGGAGACGTAAGGCAGCCAACGTGACCCTGCTCACATCACTCGTGGAGGGTAAGCGAATCCACCTGCTGAGTGGGAACAAACTGCCCTTTGGGAAAACGGATGATATTTTGTTGGCCAGATGTTGGCTTGGATTTGGTGTCAGGTGGGCAGTCTCATTTTTTCCAGGGCATCGAGCTGGAAGTGAAAGAGAAACTTAGACACCAAAACAGACCTAGGAGTGTGTACTGGTCCTTCCTGCTTGCCGCCTCCCTCCAAGTCCCAGCTCTCTCTCCTGATACTGACCTGAGCAGTGTGTGAATTTAAGAGCTGCACATTTTCCAAGTTCCTGTCTCCTTTCAAGAGCTCAGCAGTAAATCACTTAAGTTGTTCTGACATCTGCGTTTGAGAAATCCGTGACCATTACTTCCTGAATTAATTTGGGAATCTTTGACCTGCATCCTGATTTAAGGCCGTCCTGAAAGCTCACGGTTGTACGCTTTTCAGGTTTTGGTTTTCCGACTGCGGGCTCCCTTATCTCCTGTGTAATTGTGCTTTTGCTCCTGGAGGGGAAGGAAAGTGAACAATTTCAGACTTGGCTTGTGTGGCTCTGGAAAGAAAAGAAAGAAAGAATGTAATAGGGCCAAAAGTTCCTCGTGGCAACTTTTAACACACACACACATCCGTGCACAGAAGCACACACACACACCTTTCCTAACTTCCCAAGCAAAACCAAAACATCCTTCTGTATCCTCTGCTTGCTTTAGGATAGAAACCATCACCAGTGTCCATTCACATTTCCGGTGCCTGTTACATTTTTTGAATACTTAATTGACTGATTGATATTTTGCTGTGTTGGAAAAAAGTAGAGCTGTCTTTTTTTTTTTTTTTTTTTTTTTTTACTTTGTGCCTCATTGTAAATGTCTTCAGCTAATAGAGACAAAAAAGAAAAAAGGGAGAGGGATACACTTATATTGCCAAGCAGATTTAAAGACAGCATGTATAGTATAAAGGAGTCATTTTTGTTTTATTTGCATCTCAAATCTGAAGCTATTTCCATTGAATTCAGGTTCTCTGTGCAGTTCTTAATTTGAAGAGCAGTCCTATGAATTCCATTCGGTAGTTATGGAAAAAAAAAGTTGGTATTAGTGTGACTGAAACCTCAGCAACTGTGTTGTGCCAGAAACTCGATGACAGTAGCAGGATGTTTAAAAAACAGTGCCATTCCTGTCCCTGGAGAGCTGTGCACCCAGAGAGAGCGTGGTGGCGATGGCCAGGGCTGGAGCAGGAGGCCTGGTCTGGACTTGGGGGCTGAACGCCGAGACAGGGAGGCCGTTTCTGAACTGTTATTGTTTGTGATCCGCTCCATTTTATGGAAGCAAGCTCTGCGGAGAGAGCTTTGATGCTCTAATTGGCGCATGCGTTCTTCCGGAGCTGGAGCTAATGGCAGGAAGCCCTGCAGTAAAAACCAACTGGTTCAGGAAATTAAAACCAAAGATTCGAAAATCAACAACACAGACAGACTCAGTGGAGTGACCTCTCAAATCCTTTTGGTTAATCGGTTTGGATGAACAGATAATTATAAGTGATCAAGTTAATGTAAACCCGTAGTGGGTCCCTTGCAGAAAAGCTCAAAGAGCAATTATGAATATCATTTATGAATGTGTTGATAGGTGTGAAGTTGGAGCACAAGAAACGTTTTAAAAGAGGAATGTATGGGGGGAGCTTGTCAGCAGGGTTAGTGCATGGGATTCACATTTTCAGATCAGGCCGGCAGGCTCCTAGGGCCACGTGGTCGCGTCCTCCTGGTTAGTGCATCCCATCGGGTCCTTCATAAAAGGCCTGAAATGAGAAAACAGGTTGTTTGTGTTTCCGTCAACATCTGGGTTAAGAAAATAAGGGAGTCGGCGAGCGGGGAGGAAGTCGTGATCCTGACTTACCTCCAGTTGGCCTCACCTCCCCTCTCTCTCGCCTCCTGCCAGGAGAAGCCGTCCACCTAGCCAGGGACTTTGGGTATGTGTGCGAAACCGAATTTCCTGCCAAAGCAGTAGCTGAATTTCTCAACCGACAACATTCCGATCCCAATGAGCAAGTGACAAGAAAAAACATGCTCCTGGCTACCAAGTAAGGCATTTCCCGTGGTGGGGGCGGGCGGCGGGGTCTCCGGGTCCAGAGACTGCCAGGAGCAGCTTCGCTCTTCCTCCTCTCCCCTTCTCTGTGCTCAGTCCCCAGCTGAAGCACAATCCTCCAGACCGGAATCTGTTGAAAGGGAAATGCTGCGTGTCCAGCCCTGCCATCTCTGGGCTCTCGCGCTCTGTCTTCTCTCTCTGTCTCTTCCCTCTCGTCACTCTGCTGAAACATGTAGAAGTGGGGGAGTGTAGCAGTTTGGAGTCAGTGGAAACTCCAAGTGGATCTGGGGCCCCGGACCATTTCAGAGACCAGCATGGAATCCTCAGAAGGGTCACACCTGGGCCGCCATCAGCCCCTGTCTCCTGCTAACGTCCTCCAAGGGCAAAGATTAAGCCCTGGCCTGCAAAATGTGCAAGGCAGGAGCTGTCCTAGTTTAACCCTAATCCCTTATGCCACTTCATTTTTTCCTCTTCAAAAGTCACACACACACACACACACACACACACACACACACACGCATGCACACCCCACAGGTTTTAGCCTGGGTGGCAGGGGAAGCTGCCAGGGAGGTTTCTGAATGGCCCAAGTTCTATTCTCATGGGGCCCAGGCTCAATGGGTCCCTCCAGGTGGTGCGTGAAAAGAAAATGACTGTTTTGATATGTTTTGTGGAAATTAAAAGGCTTGTTTGGAAGCCCTTAATTATCACAAGTCAGTGTCACAGGAGGGCAAGAAGCGGAGGCCTTGGGTGGGACACTGTTTCTGGCCTGGGGACATCAGCTGGCCTTGGAGAAGGAGCCTGGCTAATGTGCCTCCCCACCCCCAGCCCTGGGCCAAGCTGCTGCCCAGCCATAGGTGCAGGGCCCAGGCTGCTGCTGCGGTGTGGAGGCCTTCTCAAAGCCCCTTCTGAGATTCCAGTTTCTCTGCCATTGGCTTCCTGAGTTTTGTGGGGTTTTTTTTGTTTGTTTGTTTCTTTTTGTTTGTTTGTTTGTTTGTTTTTAGGCAAGAGGGGCTAGAAGGGAGAGGAGAAATGGGAAATGGAAACACCTCTTTCCCCAAATCACCCTGAGTTGCCTCCTAGTAAGAGGCCCCCAGGCTTTGACTTGTTGAAGGCCAAATCATCCCCAGGACAGGCTTTGTGCCTGTTTGAACAATCCCAAAGTTGTGCCCTTCTGTCTGAATTCAGCTGAACTAGAGGGAGGGCTGTGGGGAGGGTCTGGGCTCGGGATCCTGGGAGATCTGACAGCTGCCTGGGCCTGGGGAGACGGAGCTTCTGACCTGTGGTCCCACTGTCCTTTGACTTCCAATGTGAGATGTCTTCCTGTTGTCGGGGATGCTTGGTGTCGGGAGAAGAAGTGGGGCAGAAGTCTGACACAAGTGAGAATGGGGTGTGTGTGTGAGAGAGAGGTGGGAAAGGTACACCTCTGAGGAAGGAGAGATGGCTTAGTGGACACGCATGCGCAGGGACTGGCGTCCGTGTGGCCACACATGGCTGCCTCTAGCCTGGGTTCAAGTCAGGTGGCTGCTGGAGCCAGGTAGCGGCAAGCTGTGGCCAGGCCGCTGGGCCTGCTCCAAGCAGAGCCTCACCTCTGTTTCTCTCTCTCTCTCCCTCTCTTACTCTGCTTCTCTGGTGTTGCAGACAGATATGCAAAGAGTTCACCGACCTGCTGGCCCAGGACCGGTCTCCCCTGGGGAACTCGCGGCCCAACCCAATCCTGGAGCCTGGCATCCAGAGCTGCTTAACTCACTTCAACCTCATCTCGCATGGCTTCGGCAGCCCAGCCGTGTGCGCCGCCGTCACGGCCCTGCAGAACTATCTCACCGAGGCCCTCAAGGCCATGGACAAAATGTACCTCAGTAACAACCCCAACAGCCACACGGACAGCAGCGCCAAAAGCAGCGACAAAGAGGAGAAGCACAGGAAGTGAGCCCCGCCCGCCGCGCCCCTGCCCTCCCCACTCTCCCACCGGCAGGTGACAGCTGGGGACCAGCCACCCTCACTGCCGCTGCTACCGCCATCGCCGCCACCTCCGCCGCCCCGGCTCCCCCAGGCTCCCGGGGACTGCTCCACCGTCAGAAGTGGGCAGCCAGCCAATGCCGACTCGACCCCCTGCCTCGACTTACCCCTTCAGCACCCACAAGCCTCCCCCACCCCCGCCCTCTTCTGGAGCCTGAGAGAACAGAACAGGCCGTGAAGCCAGCAAAGAAAAGTTCTGTCGAGTTTATGAACTTCTTTTTTTTTTTTTAATATCAGCAACAGCAACGAAAATATAAAAAAACTTTTTTTTTCTAGAAAAAAGAACATAAAAATTAAAAAAAAAATTATCTGAGCTTCATGGGACTGAAGCACCACCTTCCCTTCCATACTCCAGTTCAGATTGTAGCCATACTAAAAATAATAACAATAAAAGGCAAAAAGGATAATGACCTTTTTATCAGTATTGTGAATAAACTTGAACACAAATACACGAAGTTCCATGTCATGTCTTCAGTTGTACAAGTTTTCCCTCAAGGTAAAGCGACCAACTGGAACTCTGGCACGCGATTCAGTTCCATAAGGGAATCAGTGTTCATGATTCTGTATATATTTATTTATGTGTAATTTAATGGGAATTGTAAATATGGTGAGTCTGTTTTAAGCCATTTTTTTTTAATTTATCTGGTGATCCTGTTTACCTCTTGTTTGGTGGGTTTGGAATCTTCCCTTTAGTTCTTCGTTGTGGTTCATGGTACTTATTCAGAAATCCAAGCATTGGGGATTTTTTTTTTCTTTCCCTCTGGCATTCATGAATTTAGCCCTGTTGTAGCATGTTAAAGGCGACAGTGAAACAGCTGAACAAATTTTAAAAAGCCAAATAAAATTTTATTTATAATTAGTGTTACATTTAGCTTTTCATTGAACTGAAAGTAAAAAAAAAAAAAATGCTACTGGACCCCAGGAGGATTCTTAAACTGGAGTGGCTCGATAAGCCTTCTGTGTGTTGTGGGGAGGAAAGAAAGTATTCCACTGTCCTCCCAGGAAACCATCTCTTGAGCAATAAATGAATATTGTCTTTAAACCAAGGGTTAGGGACTTTCTCTCTTTTTATTCAAAGAACTTCAGACATTTGGGACCACCTGGTATTCTGTCTTTTCACTGGCCATATTGGAAGCAGTTCTAGTTGTATTGTATTGGGTTGTGCTGGCAGTAGTTTCCATGCCTGTCAATGTATCATCATAGTCCTTTGTTGCCCAGATAAATAAATATTTGATACGCTTTATGTCGATTTTTTTTTATTCAGTGGCTGTCTTTACCCAGGCGTATTTTTGTTCTTGGCAGTATTTTTTATTCAGTATGGTTACAGTAATTGAGTTTAACTCTCCCTTGCCAATTGCTCCTTGCAATAAGCAGCTGAACCCATTGTTTCCCTCAAGTATAATAAAAACTTACTTTCAACTTGGAGTTCAGAGCAGGGTATCATTTAGATATTCCACTGAGTCTGTATCCAGACAAATGACACAATAAAACCCAATGTATTCTTTTGGATAAAAAATGGTTTGTACCGCTAAAGGAATGACATACTATCTTTTCCTGACTAGAAACATTAATTTTACTATTAAAAAATAAAGTGTAATTTTATTTATGTTGTTCCTTTAGGTTTTCATTTGTGTTTTGGAAACCAAAATATAAACATTCAGGATGACAAGGAAGATGTGGAACTGAAGCCCCCCAGAAGACTCTCCCCCGCCCCCCTTAACTGCTTTGGAATCTGTCTCAGGATAACTTAAAATTTAAACGGCTTAGTTCATTAGCACAAAGGAAACGCCCTGCTTGGCTCTGGCTGAGACTTGGACTGGAGCTGAAAGTGCCTGTCGGTTAGTGGCAGGAGAAGTTTGTGGAACATGGAAACAGAGCCCCGGCTCAGGGAAGATGACCTTTCCAGGCCACTTTCCTGCAGCTGCTCTGTCCTGGAATCTTTGCAGCTGGCCTCTGAAGGCCTGTGTGCCGGCCCAGCCCTCTCTACCTAGGCCCTTCCAGAACATTCTGAGGTGGGGGCGGGGAGGGCTGTGAAGCCGGCCTCCCACTGCCTTCCACAATGCGGGCCTGTGTGTGCTGAGCTCTAAGAGGGAACTGCTTCCTGTGCCCCAAGATGGTGAATTCAGAGCTTTTGTAAAGTGATTGGGAAATTGTTGGCTTTGAAAGTGAAGAGGCTTCTGGGCCAGACTAGCAAGGTGCCTCCCTGGAAGGTTTTCAGGAAAGGGTGGGAGAGCAAGTGTCTAGGTAGCCAGACTCACATTGGCCGCCGCGCTGTGACGCGGTGGAGGACCGAGGAGGCAGGGCATTCCAGGAGTCCATCTTGCAAGCTCCGGCTTTCTAATCTCCTTACTGAAGGCAGTGTAAAATCAATCTTGACAAACGAATGAGAGTTGCTGGAGTCTAAATTCTATTTTCCAAAGCTGGAGAATTCATAACAATGGTGGGTTAAAAAAAAAAATTTCAAATGGAAAGTGTATTCTCAGAACGCAACGCGGCAATTGTTTTTTAAAGCGGTTATGTATTATTTCCTGGAGAGACTGGTTAAATGTAATGTAGCTGTAACAAAATAATGAGGCGAATGAACCCTAACTGTACATACTCTTGACAGAAATGAAATGCACGCAGCGTTGGAGCAGGTGAAACGAAGCATTGTCTATTAGGCCTGCTTTTCTTGGCTGCATCTCAGAATCTGTGGCGGACCCCTAACCTCGGGCACCACCGCATTCATAAACAGCCAACCATCGCTGCTCTTTCTCCAGTGACACATAAATACTCATTTTAAAACGAAAACAATCTTATTAAATACCATTCATTCATATCTGGATTTACAGACGCCTGTTATGTTGGAAAGCCAGAACCCCCGTATAATCCTTGCATCCTGAGAAAGAGAGAGAGGAAATAAGTGGGTTTGAAACACTACAAGGTCACAGTAAACAATGGCTTCCAAAGGCACGGAATTAAGTTATTTTTATTCTGTCCGTTAGACATTTGGAGGATCACGAAATGGTCATCCCTGCTTTTTCTCTTTTCAACAAAGAATGTAAAAATAGACCAGAGGTTATTATTAAAAACGGTGTTTTATTGGACTAACCAAAGGCTGTTTAGACCGGGGTATACCTTCTCTAACGCAGGAGGTTTACTTGTCAGGGCAGGTGTTTCTATGCCAACAACAGCCATTCTCTTTGGATTCCACCAAATTAGGATACATTGTCAATTCAGAGGGTGTGCAGGCTAGGCTGTGTGAGTCATCGCAGCCAGTTTTTAAGGAAACAACCACACTCACTCCGCTTTGCTGGTCATTCCGGCCACCACCTCCTCTCCCACACCTTTACAAAACCACAATCCAATCCGTTCCTCCCCCAAATCGAATATTAATATAATTTGCCTTCTTGATGGGAGTACCATCAGGACTGCAATGCCCCGCAGCTGAAATAATATTTAAAATAGAAGGGATTTGACATTTGAGAAGGCAGTGGCTTGAAATACCCAGTTGTACTTAGCTAATTCAGTCCTTAACCTCTGGTTTCAAATAAATCAATTACAGTCGATTCCACTTCAGTTCAGAAGTGCACAGGGTTTTAGTTAATTGAATACATTTTATTCACTTGCTAGGAATATTCATTTATCAAAATTCCAAATTTAAAGTGCATTTCTTTACAGGTTATATTAGATTGCACCATCAAATCCTGCTTGAAGTCTAGGTTTTACCGGACTAGGAGGCAACGCCTGCCCATTCCTTTCTCAACCAAAAGTCGATTCGCCACAGTTCTATGTCAGGCGGGAGGGCTGCTTTTCTCTACAAATTAAAAAAAAAAAAAATCATTTGTGGTCATCAGCCTTGTGTTAAGTTTAAGTAGGTTAAGAACAAAGCTGGATTAATTAAGTTTTTAAAAAAGTATAGACCTGAAATTAAAAAAAAAAAAAAGCCGCATGGTTTCCATTAGAGCTTAACTTCACTGCAGCTGACAGGTATGACAGCGGTTGTGGTCTTAAAGCCATAGGCCCCTTTTCTTCACCCTCCCCACCCCCCACCTCCCTCTTCTCGCTTTTGGAAAAGTGCTGGAACACAAGCTGAACTGTGAGCTGAGAGCCGTGGAGTTCAGGGTGCCCCAGTGAAGTTGTGCTTTAAGCAGATATTGATGTATGCAGTGTTTTCTAAGTTATTGTTTGTAGCATCCTGCTGGCAGCCGTTTGCTATTTGGAAAGGAAAGGGGTTAATTAGCGTCATTATCAATCACTAATGCTTGCCTAACGTGTCCAAAGAATAATCAAGTTAGAGGACGGCAAGAAGCCAACAGCTGCTTCCTCCCAGTTACAGAGCTCCTCAGCCACCCAGGGATGGGGTCGGGAACGAGGAGAGGGAGTTGGGAGTCGGGGAAGAAACCTCACTGCTGAGTAAAAGGGCTATGAAAAAGGGGGTCAACTCACTGGAGATCTGAAAGGCGGCTAGTGTACCCAGCGAGCCTGGTTTGATTTGCTCAGTTCCAGGTGCAGCAGAGACAGCCAGTGCGACTGGGGCAGAACCCTGACATGGGTCCATGTATTTACTGTTATCCAGGTGGGGTACCTGAAGAGGTGTGTTCACGTTGCCTTATTTCTTAGTGTTCCGTGGCAAAAGCTGCGAAGGAGGAGAAGAAAAAAAAAAAATCATCCCTTCCTACCCCAGACAAGCCCAGATCAACATCTAAGATCACTCCCACGCCCCATCCCAGAAGAATGAACCCGTGGCAGGTGTTACCAGTTCTCACACCCCTGCATCCCCTCTTGGGACTGCTTAGGAATGTCGTTCCTGGTGAATTTCAATGGACAATTCTTTTCTGTGTGGGGACTGGTTGAACACCTGAGCTGGCTGTACCGGGGCCCTGCCTTTTGCCTCCTGCTCTTAATACTTCTCACCCTATTGGGCCCCTGTGACCCGTGGTGGGTGACAGACTGAGAAAGTTTGGCCCTCTGAGCAGTTCTTGCTAGGAAAAGTTTATTTTTAAAAGATGTAGTATTTATCAGTGAACCGTGAGTTAGAACTAAAGACCCCCCTCCCTCCCCGTATAAAAAGTGCAACCAGCCGCTTTTCTGAAGGTAGAGACTTTGTTGGCATTCGTGCCATCCAACAAAAGTAGCTGTCCAAACTCCTTGGTGCCTGGGTGGCTCCCTATTCCGATGGTGGCCGCAAGATCATCTCCTGCTCAGAGAAGCGCCTGGTATTCCTGCTGGCTCCAGGAAACGGTACAATTCACGTACTTGGGAAACTCCTTTAAAAAAAAAAATTAAGTCCTGTTTTATTGTCTGAGATCATGGTTACAAATAGGAACAAGAGGAAGAAAAAACAGATATTGAGGGTTCTAAAATAGTAAAATAGAACTCTCAGTGCTATTCA